GACCGAGAAGGGCCTGTTTCTAGTTTATTACTTCCTGGCCTCCCTTGGGGTGACAACCCAGAAGCACATTAGCCTGGGAGGACTGAGTGGTATATGTGAAAGTTCTTGGAAAAATACACTTCAGTAAGTACCAAATTATTCAGATTGGTTATTTTTTTTACCTGAATCCATTGGAGGAAGGGATTTGAGAATTTTTAAAAAATTATGGAAGTTTAAACTTTCCTTCTCCTATGTGCAATGGGCCCAAATTTAATTAGCCACTCTCTCCTGCATATTTATAGGCCAAAAAAACATAAAATAATGTTCAGTGGAATGTTACACATGTAATGCAGTTTAACCCTCAGAATGAATGGACCCCTCTAAAGCTAAGCATTAATTCTGAGAAGTAGAACTAAACTGAAATCACACCAAAACACTTTGTCAGAAGTCCCACAGGTGGGAGAAGTCATTTTCTTAGTGTGAGCAATAAATGATTTGGAAGCAAAATCTCTTGTTGATTTCCTGGAAATCACTCACAAACCAAACGGTGTTGAGATACAGTAAGTGATAATAATAAAGCTCATCTTGTTGATTTCCTGGAACCAAACGGTGCTGAGATACAGTAAGTGATAATAATAAAGCTAAATAAAATTATACTGCCATGCATTCTGTGAATATATATTTTTAATTACATGCCATTCTTTACATTAATCACTGCCATACATTCTATGAATATTTTTTTAATTACATGCCATTCTTTACATTAAAATATGTTTTACCCTTCTTCCCAGACAATGTGAAACGCCCCAGGGCTCTTGGGGGGCCTGCCAGGAAGTCACATATCTACTAGGAACATCCTGCACTGGCCAAAACACGTTGAAATTAAACCACAATTTGGCACTTGAGAAGAATCTTTGCAAACAAATCTAGCTGATTCGTATCACCTGCAGACTCTACATTCACACAGCAGCTCCCAAGAAACAGCTCACATCCATAATCAGTAGTTTCACTATGTACTTATACGAACAGAATTAATATGTTTACCAGAAGACTATTTGCTCTACCAGGCAAAGCACATTGAGAACTGGAAGGCTGAATAAAGCTAGACGGGATATCAGACTAAAGTGGACCCTCTACTTACAGAATGAATCCATATTGGAATGGTGGCTGCAGGTCGAAAACTCTGTAGGTCGAGTCTCCACTGACCTACAATGCATTGAAAACCGATTAATCCCATAACCGGCCGTTTTTGTTCCATTTTTGTTCCATTTTGTTGTTGTTGTTGTTTTCTGGTCTGTAGGTCGATTCTCAGGCTGCAAATCGAACCTAAATTTTGTGGCCAGAGAAGTTGGTAACTTGAAAAGTCTGTAAGTCGAGCCGTCTGAAAGTCAAGGGTCCACTGTATTTCAATCGGCCCTGAGGTGTTATGGAAAATGGAGTGAAATGGTTACCACACTTTTCCTGTCCCAAAGCTGACTCCCATCCTTATGGTTTTGCTGGCCATCCTCTTGGGGAGACCATCTGCTGCCTGCCTCTCTCTAGCTAAAGGAAGAGAACAAACTGGAAGGGTCTTCAAAGGAAGACAAAGGAAGGAAATGAGCCTAAGATTGACAATCTGCCTGTGGGTTTAGTAGCAATCTGGTTGCTACTAAAGATTCGGAGAGACAAAGGGGAAGAAACCACTTGGGCCGTCTCTCCAGGTTCATCACAACCACCACTTCTGCAAAGTGGGGCAGGTCATTTGGTACATGTGTTGATGCTTATAGCCCAACATTTGTCCTCTGCTACAGCCCATGGGAACGGCTGCTAGTGGTGAGAGTTACGGAAGAAACCTTCACATCCAAAGTGTGGAGATATTCTTCTTCAGCAGATTATTAGGAAGGCTTTGATCCCTGCTTCATTTTGCTCTCCTGCCAAGTCTAGGATGGCTGTTGAGTAGATGTTCCTCTCTTTGGCTATGGGGGATGTTCCATGTTCTCTTTGAGCTCTATTCTGATATCAAAGCCATCATTTAAGAAAATGTGGTCCCTTCCTAGTAGTAGTTTAGTCGTTTAGTCCTGTCCAACTCTTCGTGACCCCATGGACCAGAGCACGCCAGGCCCTCCTATCTTCCACTGCCTCCCAGAGTTGGGTCAAATTCATGTTGGTTGCTTCGCAGACACTGTCCAGCCATCTCATCCTCTGTCATCCCCTTCTCCTGTTGCCCTCACACTTTCCTAACATCAAGGTTTTTTCCAAGGAGTCTTCTCTTCTCATGAGATAGCCAAAATACTGGAGCCTCAGCTTTAGGATCTGTCCTTCCAGTGAGCACTCAGGGTTGATTTCCTTTAGAATTGATAGGTTTGTTCTCCTTGCAGTCCAGGGGACTCTCAAGAGCCTCCTCCAGCATCACAATTCAAAGGCATCAATTCTTTGGCGGTCAGCTTTCTTTATGGTCCAGCTCTCCATGGGGGATGTTCCATGTTCTTTTTGAGCTCTGTTATCAAAGCCACCATTTAAGAAAATATGGTCCCTTCCCAGTCATACTGAAATAGCTCAAATAACCACAAGAAAGCAGCTTCTGCTGTTTTTGTGCCTGCTCCCACTAGGGACCGATCTTTACTCTCAAGAGCCTCCTCCAGCATCACAATTCAAAGGCATCAATTCTTTGGCGGTCAGCTTTCTTTATGGTCCAGCTCTCACTTCCATACATCACAACAGGAAAAACCATAGCTTTGACTATTCGGACTTTTGTTGGCAAGGTGATGTCTCCTAGTCATACTGAAATAGCTCTGTAATTTCAAATAACCACAAGAAAGCAGCTTCTGCTCTTTTTGTGCCTCCTCCCACTAGGGACCGATCTTTGAAAGCTCAGTGGGAGTCAATATAGATAATCTGTGGCTGCTTTGAATGAGGAAAATTCCAGGTTGGGCATACTTAGAATAGGAATGGAAAATAAAGCTGTTTATGTCATCATGCCTTGATGCATCACTACATCTGTGCATGGTTGGGGCTCACCAATGCATCTCAGAAAGGAAATTGTACAGCTTGGGCGGGGGGGGGGAGAAAGGAACCAAAATGGAGCAGGGAATGAATTGACTCTTTACTGAGGAAACATTCCAATATTTGGGACTCCCCCCACCCAGTTAAAATAAAAAAGTAAGAAGAGATATTACACCAAAATTGAGGTGATGTTGGGAGAAAAATAAGGAAAAGTAGAGAGAAACTAAAAACAAAATATTGTGCCACTTTAAGGACTAACAAATTTGTTTCAATGTGTTTGTGAATCCAAATCCACTTCCTCTGACACATGGCGTGCTCATACTATTTATATGAGTTTATCCATGTTCCCACAGTGGCAGGGATGGTGACCAGGCAAGGATACAGACAACAGACGTTCCTGGATCAGTAACTCAGGAATGGGATTATGTGGGTGTTACATACTCAAAACTGCAAGTTGTAGCCCAGGTGATGATGTGTATGCCCAGTAGATTTGGCTGTTACAGAAATGTTAGGAGTTGTTTCTGGGGCAGAGCTCACCCTGTGTCAAGGGAGACAACTATTTTGTATACATGTTATGGAAAACTGGATTGTTAGCATTTGTAGTGTGCCAAGAAGCCTTGATCCCTATTTAAGGTCCTAAGGATACGCTTGTATTTGTTTATGTAGCCTACTTCCACTTGTTTCTCACTACAGTCTTTCTTTATAATTCTCTTTTTCCTACAATAGTGACTTTGAGATCCATAACAGAATAGATCCTGAAAGATCCAAGCATTCAGATACTGGTTGTCTGTGTTGCCACTGCTGATCTCAAATGATGTTGGGTGGCATTCTTTCTCTCTTTTAGTGTAGTCAACATGTCGAAACAGACTAACAGGGCTACATGTTTGGAAACAGGACAGAGGCATAAAAAATTAAATATAGTGTGGCAAAAAATGTAAAGTGGGAAGACTTCTTTCCTGTCTTATAAACTGAGAACTTAGGAGCCATCCCATGAAACTAAGGCATGAATGAAAGATTTAATGTTAAACAAAAGGTGAAGGAAAATGTATGTTTCCTATTGTTATATTTTCCTTCCAAGTAGGTAATTCCTTCAGAGTTCAGTCAAACTTGCAAATGAAGCCCATATTTACCTCGTAAAAACCAATCATGAAACAAAACCAAGCTAAATGAAAACCAATCATGAAACAAAACCAAGCTAATTTGCAACAAGAGGCAAGTTCATGTGAGGATAAACAGATGTCTTCTACCTATGAGGGGAATTCTGTATTTCATGACCTACCAGCGGCATCATTCAGTTTGGTCCAGGGCACTCACAAGGAGGTATTTCTTCACAGAACATGTAGTTCAACTATGGAATTTGGAATCGCAAGATGAAGCACTGGCGACCATTAACTTAGGTTATTGTAAATGAGCATGAGGAAAATTCATTGAGGATAAAACTGTCAGGGGGCGCTCCTTGCCACAATTACTTCATGCTACCTCTAAGATGAGAGACCATCAACAAACTGTGCTTTAGTTCAGGATTTGTTTAAGACATGCCCTTTATTCATTACCAGAGCTATACAGAATAGCCATTTGATATGCCTAAATCTTTCCAGACCAAATGCCCCTTTCTGAAAAGATGCTGGAATCTCTCGTCATACAGGCCTGCAGCATTTATAAGAGAACAGAGAGTCAGGACCATACTGCATATTTTTCTTGACTAAAATAAGGCAACGTTTTGCAACATAAAACAAGTTTCAAAGATAGAAGGAAAGGATGTGATCACAATACGATCGTATGAAAGACTACAGTATATGCTCTGTACAAAAGCTTTAGGTTGCAAAATTAGATTTTCATTTGGTTACACAAAAGGATTGCAAATACTCGGTCTCTAGAGTCCTACAAGGGTCCCACATTCTTTTCTTATCAGGTGAACAGATCAAGTGCTGTCACAGATCGTTTTGTCAATACAGCTGTGTGTCGCCCTCATCATTCAGGCTTACATAGAATATGGGTATCATGAGGATTTTCTCCATCAAAGGCCACATTTTGTGCAGTCCTCTCACCTTCTGATGGTCTATTGCATTATAACTGTTTCCGTTGTGTGCAAATTTGTGTGGTTTTAAAAATTATTATTATTAAATTAAAACTCTTCCCTGAATCATTAGCTCTTATAGATATCCTGCTGAGGCATCCCAGACGGCTTCGGTGTCTTCTTGGATCTGGATGTGCTATCATCCTCCTGCTCGTGGGAGCCATAATAGCACTTGGTGTTTGGGGTGAGTGGTTGTCCATGTTTAACATCACACAATGTTGTCCATGAAGCATTATGGCTCATCCTTAGCCTTACAGAAGAAGCCTCCAAGTGTCATCAGCAGTGCCTCAGAAAACAGTACTCCAACCATCTCCTTGTTAATTAGTGGCAATTTGCCCCCACAACCTATGTCATTCCTCTTACTCTGAAGTAAAATCCCATCAGGATGCTGGGCAGGATCAGTAGACCAGGTTGCTTATACAGCCCTCTCATTGGATCCTCATAACAATCCTGTGAAGTAGGATAGCTTGAGAGATGGTGACTGGTTCAATGTCACCCAGTGACTGGGTAAGGATTTGGACCCAGTTCTCCCCAGCCCTACTACAACACCTGAACCACCTCTTGGTGTCTCACTGCATTGACAACTGAGTTTTAGTCATGCACACAAAATGCTACAGATTGAGTCTGGGAAAACAAGGACAACCCACCCCCTCGACACACATAGACCCCAAAATGGTGGTGGTGGGAGGGAAGGAGCTTGGCAACAATCTGGTCTCGGATTCTCTGTAGATAAGAGAGAGTGATTCCAGACAAAACGGCTAGCTTTAAGTAAACTGTCTATATTTCTACAGAAGATGCCACAACATGGGCCAAACTCCTCTCAGTTATGTCTGGTGGCATTCTGCAAGGGGTGTACATCTTGATAGCTCATTGCCACAAGCAAAGCTGTTTGTGTAGTTATTTGTTATCACGCAACTTGGTGTACAGCAGCAAATGCCTTCACTAACTTTGTATGTGGGTTGTGTGCTGTCAAGTTGGAACCGACTTATAATCACCCTAATAGGGGTTTCAAGGTAAGTGAGATGTTTAAGGAGTGTTTTTACCAGTTTTTTTACACACACACATACACAAAGTGTGTGTATGTGTGTGTCTGTTTCTGTGGCACCTGGGGAAACCATCAAAGTTTCTGCTGATCACATTATGCTGGTATGAAAATACCATAGAACTGGGGAAACCATTTACCATCAAAGTTTCTGCTGAGCACATTATGCTGGTATGAAAATACCATAGAATTTTAGCCATCTTTTTTTTTAAAATAATCTTAAGCAATAATAGTATCTTTGGTTTGTTCATCACCAAATTAGGAATCCCACTGAAAGCTTGGGAGACCAAAGAGTCTCTGGATGCTCTGGAGGATCCACATGCCGTCCAAGAATCCAACTGCAGCCAAGGATGCAACCATGGGACTCAACAGACCAGCCACAATGACTTTCAGGCTTTGCTACAGTTTCTCTGCAAGTTGCATGACAATGATCCATCAGGTAAATTTGGTGTTTACTGTATTAAGAGTCCCATGAACTCTCTCATGGTGCAATGGCTGCCGTTCCATCTTGGTCCATTCCTCAGCTATTCCCTCTACTCCTCTGTCCTTTTCCACCTTCTGATCACAGACCGGGACACCCCAATCTCAAGGTAAGAGGTCAGAGGACCAATTGGGCAAAATCCAGACCCTTTTGCTCCATTCCCTGGCACACAACCCCCTTTCTGGGCCTGTGCCTTTTAGGCTGGCTGTTCTGCGATGATTAGTACAGAGTGGAACTCCCAGTCTCTGGCTCTACAGCCAGATCCCCTTTCTGGGTCTGTGCCTTTTAGGCTGGCTGTTCTGCAAAGATTAGTACAGAGTTAAATTTCCAGTCTCTGGCTCTACAGCCAGATTCCGAATTCCCTGAGCTATGCGTCCCGGGTTTAGCCAGAAACCAGAAGTAAGTTTTACAGAATCCAGTGGAGGAAATGCTGTTTAAAACTTGGAACGAAACCACGTCCATCTCTTTTGATAGACAATTTCAAACTTGAGAACAAAACGGTCTCTGTCTAATTCCACAAGTTGGATTATGAGTTATTTGGTATCACTATGAATACAAGAAGTCATTTATTGCAGGTGAGAAATATTTAGACCTTAGGCAAGTAAACCAACACGAGCTTCCTCTATTTTGTTTGTCTGTTTTAAACAGAAACTTCAAAGTGCAAACTCTGCCCTGAAAACTGGCGGCGTCATGAGAACAAGTGCTACTGGATCTCCAAAGAAAAACAAACCTGGAATGTCAGTCAGGATGACTGTACGGGGAAAGTCTCTCACCTTGCCGTGATTCAGAAAAAAGAAGAGCTGGTAAACACGGACTAGGATTTTTTGTTCTCTGCACTGTAGAAAGAGAAATTCAATAAAGTAAACTGCGTAGTGACACAGGTCAAGGCATGCCCACTGCCCCACCCCTGCACCTCCTGCACCCCAAACCCAGTTTGGACCAGGGAATCTATGACCTGAGGCACTTGGAGAGTGCAATGGGAAGAAGGGATCCATCCCTCGACACACATATGTATAACACACAAATGATTCTGCTCTTGTGTCATGGGAGTAAGGGGGGAAAAATGAACATTCCTCAAAATTTGTAAAAGAAATCTTGTTCTTTCAACTTCTCACCTGATCATCTCCTTTGTCCAGGAATTAGTTCTCTTTATTTTTTTTAATGGAGGTGTGTGTGTGATTGGTCCCTAGCAGAAAAAACACTCCTGAATGACAAGAAATTGGGGGGAGGGGGAATCTGTGATACCCATGCATGCACATAGTCTATCTATGGGGAATTTCAGAATTCACTTTAGTCTCCACACACCATTGTTCTGGGTGCCATTTGTTTTTAATTTAGTAATGTCTTAACTTTAAAAAACAGAACCCTATTATTTAGTACTGTATGTTTTAATGATTGTTATAAACTCCGTAGAATAGTGCTTCACACTAAGGGGGGTGGTAAAGAAAGAAAGAGAGAGAGAGAGAAATTCATGATATGCCCTCGCAGAGTAGTGCTTCACACTGAGGGGGTGGTAAAGAAAGAGAGAGAGAGAGAGAGAGAGAGAAATTCATGATATGCCTCAGGGACTCAAGAGGGGCAGGGCCTGGTGAAGGAGAAATATATTTGCCTTTGTAGAGTCTGGTTTTTTTAGGCTCCTCACCTCTCAACCTCTGTTACGTCTGGCTTGGCTTGCAGGAGCTGTGGCCGGGTCCTGCCTCCTGCTTCTCCTTGCCCTCTGCCTGAGCTGCCAGCCAGCCAGCTGAGGAGGAGCCTCTGGCACTGCTGGGGAAGGAAAACCCACAGCCAGGGGCCCCCGAGGGGAGGTGCCCCACAATAGGGAGTGAGGGGAGCTTGGGGAGGTACAACAGAGGGAATAGGTGGGGTTCATACAGAAGGGAACTGGGGAGAGGTGAGTTGAAAGCAATGTGTCCTCCTCCTCCTCCTCTAAAAACTGTGGCAACACCACAAAAAAACACTTTGCAACCCCCGGGGGGGGGTCACAACCCACATATTGTGAACTCATGATCTAGGCACTTTATATTGGAATTCAATTTAGGTAATAAAAAAATTCATTTTTATATTTTCTATATTTTTGCCATAATAAATGTACATGAATTCTGCATATACAGAGCAGTTGCCTAGTTGTGCCAGATGCATGAAAATGTAGGAGCATGCATTTTGACATCTGCAGACCTATTGCCGTATCATTGACAGGATTTCATACAGCAGATCACTGATGGGGCACAGCTTCTGTGGATTGGACTGACAGTCGTACCCCATACACAGGAATGGGCCTGGGTAGAAGGTTCACTGTTTAATGACACACTGTGAGTACAGTATATTCTCTTGCAGTTCATGAAAGCTGGTCTGAGTCCTGGTCTAACAATCTGTCTACTATATCAGTGGTCCCCAACCTTGGGCCTCCAGATGTTCTTGGACTTCAGCTCCCAGGAACCCTGGCCAGCAGTGAAGACTTCTTTGAGTTGTAGTCCAAGAACATCTGGAGGCCCAAGGTTGGGGACCACTGATATAGTAGACAGATTGTTAGACCAGGACTCAGACCAGCTTTCATGAACTGCAAGAGAATATACTGTACTCACAGTGTGTCATTAAACAGTGAACCTTCTACCCAGGCCCATTCCTGTGTATGGGGTACGACTGTCAGTCCGATCCACAGAAGCTGTGCCCCATCAGTGATCTGCTGTATGAAATCCTGTCAATGATACGGCAATAAGTCTGCAGATGTCAAAATGCATGCTCCTACATTTGCATGCATCTGGCGCAACTAGGCAACTGCTCTGTATATGCAGAATTCATGTACATTTATTATGGCAAAAATATAGAAAATATAAAAATGAATTTTTTTATTACCTAAATTGAATTCCAATATAAAGTGCCTAGATCATGAGTTCACAATATGTGGGTTGTGACCCCCCCCCGGGGGTTGCAAAGTGTTTTTTTGTGGTGTTGCCACAGTTTTTAGAGGAGGAGGAGGGCACATTGCTTTCAACTCACCTCCCCCCAGTTCCCTTCTGTATGCACCCCACCTATTCCCTCAGTTGTACCTCCCCAAGCTCTCCTCACTCCCTACTGTGGGGCCCCTCCCCTCGGGGGCCCCTGGCTGTGGGTTTTCCTTCCCCAGCAGTGCCAGAGGCTCCTCCTCAGCTGGCTGGCTGGCAGCTCAGGCAGAGGGCAAGGAGAAGCAGGAGGCAGGACCCGGCCACAGCTCCTGCAAGCCAAGCCAGACGTAACAGAGGTTGAGAGGTGAGGAGCCTAAAAAAACCAGACTCTACAAAGGCAAATATATTTCTCCTTCACCAGGCCCTGCCCCTCTTGAGTCCCTGAGGCATATCATGAATTTCTCTCTCTCTCTCTTTCTTTCTTTACCACCCCCCTTAGTGTGAAGCACTATTCTACGGAGTTTATAACAATCATTAAAACATACAGTACTAAATAATAGGGTTGTGTTTTTTTTTAAAGTTAAGACATTACTAAATTAAAAACAAATGGCACCCAGAATAATGGTGTGTGGAGACTAAAGTGAATTTTTGAAATTCCCCATAGCTAGACTATGTGCATGCATGGGTATCACAGATTTTCCCCCCCCATTTCTTGTCATTCAGGAGTGTTTTTTTCTGCTAGGGACCAATCACACACACACCTCCATTAAAAAAAATAAAGAGAACTAATTCCTGGACAAAGGAGATGATCAGGTGAGAAGTTGAAAGAACAAGATTTCTTTTGTTTTGCATAACTTGTTGTCGCTAAGTGTGGTTAGTTAATGAAAAGCTGGGGCAATATTTAGTCATGTGGGCCAGTCACGTGTGCCCAATTACACCCCATCAGTTAGTACTTCCAGTGCATATGAGTTCACCGGAATCTTTAAATGCGCGTCCTGTCTAGTAAAGTACGCAGTGGTTGTGGGAGTATATAGAAAAGGGGAGCCCATGAAGAATTTCCTACTAAGCATCCACTTCCTGGCAATCCCCCCAACCCAGATAGACAGGGGATAGTTTACCATGTGTACCTTTGGCTGTTAAAATAATTTGCACAGAGGTGTCCATGTGATGCTCAGGACTCTGCTGCTGAGTATCTCGCTGTAGGATAAGCCGATCAGAAGTGGTAGAAGAGGAGTTGAGCCCTGGATTTATGGCAGCTCATTGAGGCATCTTGCTGAAGCACAAGCCATCTCCGTGTGCATCCAAGTATTTCACAGTTTACAACTAGTGAACAGTCAAGGTCAACAGCTATATGCAGTAAAATAAATTCAGATAATCTTTTATTACAGGCCCAACGTAACAACAGGGTATCTGCAGGTAAACATAAAAACCAGTGGCAGAAACTCTGTTGGCATAATTGATGCCATGTAGCACTGACAATGTCATAAAGCAGCAATTTTTCAGAAATTAAGCATTCCTTAGCTCTGTCCCAAAGCACCTGTAAAATTCCTTTCATTGCATTGGGGCCACAGGATGGGTTGAAGGGGGTCCTTAATTATAAAAAAAATCACTGCCATTGTTAAAAGTACCCTAGCAGCAGTGATTTTCTGTAAAGACATTCCTCTCCTGTCCTGCAGCCCCCAAGGCTTCCTGCTAATAAAAGGGATTGCATGAAAGCCTTGGGAACTTTGGGACAGAAGTCAGAAATGTTTGATTTCTTAAAAAAATCACACAGTTGCTGATGTCATGAGCCTTACATGGTGTAAGTTATGCTAACAGGATTTCAGCCAATGTTATGCTGAGCTTCAGCTGAGCGGAACATTTCCCCAGCATAGTATGTACTACAGGATTGCACCACTTATACAAGCTTTGCTTTTGTGCAAGCGGGAGACTGCTTTGGTTCATGAGAGTCATGGCAAGTGATGCAATCTTGCATTTCTGTGCAGCTGAGACTTACTGCTCAGCAGAAACACAACAGGATAATGGCCTAAAGAGTGATCCATGTGAAAACACTAATTTCAGAAACATTACTTCCATACTCCCAGAATACACCCACTCAATATGTATGTATATCTAGGTGTCATCAAGCAACTACAGCAAGGATGAACTAAGTAAGAGACTAGATCTATTTAAAGTGAGCCAATGGATTTAGCTAACTTTGGACGAACACTCTTTTAACATTCACCTTTTTCTGTAGGTTGCCAGTGACAGAAGCTGCTGAAATCAACAGCTGTGGAATGCTGAAAGGAAGCAAAGTTATATCAGACGCTTGCACTGCAGTAGCCAACTGGATCTGTGAGAAAGAGGCTTTTCTGGTGTAAATATGTAACAATAAGCTGTGCAGCAAACATATAGTCTAGTGGTTCCTAACCTTGGGTAACCCGGGGTACTTGGACTACAACTCCCAGAAACCCTGGCCAGCACAGCTTGTAGTGAAGGCTTCTGGGAGTTGCAGTTCAGTTACTGATCCAAGGTTGTGAGGCACTGAGTCATAGTCTATATGCAGAACTGTTTATCTGGGTCTTATTTCAGTACAGCTGTGCAAAGAATGATCTAGGTTAGTGGTTCCCAACCTTAGGTAACCCAAATGTTCTTGGACTGTAATTCCCAGAAGCCTTCACCATCAGTTGTGCTTGCCAGGGATTCTGGGACTTGCAGTCCAAGAACATCTGAGCTTGGGAAACCACTGACCTTGGTGTAAAGACAACCTCACCCCTTCATTTTCCTTTCCTAAGCACCAAAGATCCTGGAGCTGCTCTCTAAAGGGGTGTTGAACCAAGGCGGGGCAGAGGAGGAATGAAACATTTGAGAGTGGGAAACAGTTGAGACCCTCAACGCCTTTAAGTCAGTACAGAGTGAAGGCAGGAAACACTGTATTTATTGTAAAAGAGTACCAAGGAGGGAAGAACGCTTTTGTTGATTTGATTCTCTTTGATGCTTACTTTTGAAGATTTGTTAAAGACCTGTTTGTTTTTAAAAAAATAAAAAAAAGCATTGTACAAACAATTATTTCAACTGAGCACATGAAACAGGGTGGAGCGTAAGTACACAGAAGCAATGCCAGCTTGTCGGGTTAGCCCTTTGAAAATTCAGAACGACTGCATCATCACATTTCTGCGTAAGAAAATAAGAAGGTTTGTATTTTTTTGGAGAAGCACACTTTGAGAGACAAAAACGTGATAACACTCCCGATTCCATCTCACTAAGGGCTTGGTTACACTGCTGATCTATATATGGATGTTTCCCCCAATGTTTCCGAAAATGAATTCAAGTCACGTGGGTTTTACTGTGAATGTTCACTTTTGGAAACTAAACCCAGAAGGACTTATTGTGTTGGCCGAAGAAGCTAAAAAGGTCGCCATGGAAGTCCCCCCCCCCAATGCATGCATGTGGCTACCTTGAGGACAAGGACGACTGCTGGTGGGTTGAGGCAAAAAGAAGCAAAAACAGTCCAAATGGGGAAAGAGAGAGGAGGGAAGGCAGCCACAGCCGGCCTCAAGAGTACTATAAATCAAGAAGGGTGGAGAGGAGGCGCTGGGCAGGACAGGTGGCACCTCTTTCGCATGATGGGGCAGAGGGAGTGGGGAGGGGGTCCTTCCGGCTACTGCCTTCTCAGGAAGCCACCAGCAGGATGGGAGTGCCGGGGAAGAAAGGAGATTTGAAAGAGGAGTCAGGAGGACACAAAGAACAGGAACGAATGCAAGTGGTTCTGGACTGAGTGTGTCATGGAAGAAGGAGTTTTATAAAGAGAGACAGCAAAGAGGTAGGTTGAGAGTTTCACTTTAATGGGGTCTTTTTAATTGGAAATCAGCACTGCATGTATTTCCCCCTGAAATACATGCAGCCATATGTTTTCTTTATTGCACCTGCCCATCCCTCAAGCATCCATATACTTCTTGCCCTGCCTCTCATTTTCAATAGCAGAAACACTTCAAAAGACCGTATTTATTCCGACAGAGGCGTTCACCTGAACCCTAATGTTGAAAGAAGGTGAGCACAAGTCAAAGCCATGAAGGACAATCTAGGAAACGTAAGGATGTCCTTTTAAAAACCTCTTCCCCATGCAAAGACATCCACCTTCGGTGATTGAGACATTGGGACAGAAGTTGGGAGTTCAGTGCCCCGCTGTGCCTCTTTCACAGGGGCTGGCCTCGAAGATCCAGAGGGCCTTTTCAATCTCTGCAGTTCTGAAATTATTATATCTTCCTGAGTTACGTTTCCCACAAAAATCTTCATCTTCCTGGCCCTTCACATTGACTTCCACATTTCCCCTACTTTCTCATTCTCTTACCAAACAATTCTCTCACTGTTGCTGATATGCTCTTCTGTTTCCTGCAGTGACAAGAGAGAGGCCTCGAGGAACCCCAGAAGCAGGTCAGAAAGTCTGTGGTGTTCCTTGCCAGTTCCTGGCATCCCAACGTATATTACTTTACCTAACTTGGGGTAAAATTAGTGTATTTTTAAAAACTCAACTTCCCAAATTGCCCAGTTCACTGAGATTCAGGAAGGTGTAGCCCCAAACAGTAACTTCTCTGTGCTCAATTAAATTTCATTCATGAGTTTGCTTAAACATTTTCAAAAGCCCCTTCCCCCCCCCACTACCAAAAAATGGCCCTCATGACATCAGGTGAAGGTCCTATCATGACTGATTAGACAGTTTCCTTGGGCAGCTGATTTGGGGTATCTTGAAAACATGCAAACAGCTCATTATTTGGCTCATTAGGACGCCTGCTACCAGGGAAAACAAGATATTTTCTGCCTACCAAAATAACTTGGCTAGTCTAGGATATTCCGTGCCTTGCCTGAGGGAAAGAAGGCACCATTTCTTGCTAAGCCTCAGTCAGCAAAATATCTTAAGCAGGCTCTGCTGAAGAGTGAAATCATTATGTATTGCTCCTTTCAGGAAACAGAAACAGGGCAGGGGAGAATTCCTTCCTTACAGTTCATATTTTTGGCAAAACTCTTGTCCTTCTCCCTTCAGCCTTTCCTGGTCAGGATGCTTATTCAGTTCTTTTGTATCATTTGCCTTCTCTTTTCCTGCCATTTGAGGTGGGCTAGATATCTCAGTGAGCTAGGTATGCAGATGAGGAACTCGAGGTTTATTGAGTTTGATTCCTCACTGGGCATCCTAGGAGAAGAGCCAGCCTGTGTAGCTTTGGGCAAGGCACACCTACCGAGAAATGCCCCCAGAAGGAGGAAATGGTCGACCGCTCCTCAGTACTTTCTAACTAGAAAACTGTGGACACACCGACCAAGAAATGACTCCAGAAGAAGGGAATGGTCGGCCGCTTCTCAGTACTTTCTAACTAGAAAACTGTGGAAAGGGTCGCTGTAAGTCGGAAATGACTTGACAAAACACTACTAGTAGAAATCAGAACTACATGTGGTTTTCCAAATGGAAGCTGGTGTGTTGCAGATGTTTGAAGGAAGAGGGTGCTGTTGCATCCATGTCTCTACAAATGGGCTTCGCATCTGGTTGACCTCTGTCTGAATAAAAAGCTTGACCAGAGAGGCCACAGGTCAGCGCTATTGTGGTGTTTATGTTCTTCCAACAGATTTGTAAGGGAAAGAATGCTTCATTAACATATGTGGTAATAGTTAGAGCACTGGGGAGACCTAGGCTAAGTTCTTACTGAACTGTGAAATGTAGTACAGAAATACACCTAATATGGCCCATGGAAATCAATCTGATCTCTTTCAAGGGATTAAATGGGAGATATAAATGATAAAGTGAATGTTCTGAGGAGTTGTATAAAGTATTTTATTTTTTATAAACAGACACATATAATGCAGATGTATATAGTATATATAAATTCATTCATTCATTCATATACAAATAGATAACACAAAAATTATCCATTCAGATGACAAGCTGACTGTTGTGTTTAGGAGTGCAACATAAAATTGGAATAAGGTTGAATGCAGGGTAGCGTTTTGCACCCTGAACCTGTGTTTAAATATATTGTTTGTTTGTTACATACAGTAAAACAGTAATGTATGCAACAATATACAGTATTCAAACACAGGTTCTGGGTACAATACACTTCCCTACATTCAATCTTATGCAAATTTTATGTAGCACTCCTAAACACCAGAGTCAGGTTGCCATCTAGCCAAACATACTGTATATACAGGATTGTATGTTTCTAATGCTATAATAGCTACAGGCAGTATCATCATTAGCTTAAATAATGCCAAACATTTTTGTTTTATATCCACTGGTAGAAGAATGTCACTGAAACTTGGATATTTGCTTGATGCTTTGTGACAGGGGGTTGGGGTTAGGAATACCCCTTTACTGGAACCAAACTATATGTCAGCCTGTTTTATCAAGATTCTTTTTTTACAAAGTGATGTTCCTTTTTTAAAAACACACACACATAATTCCTATGTTTTTGAACTTTGAAGACAGCAGAGGTACAAGGCAGTGTGTTCATTGTTTTCTCAAATCTCAGAACTATTTCTTTTTTAAATTTTAAATTTTAAATTTTATTTTAAAAATGAATGAGGCCACTTTTATACACTATACCTATGAGCATTGAAAACAGAGCATGAAAATGTTACTGTAAAAAAAAGGGAGGGGATTAAATATAGTAGGACCCCCATAGCCATTCAGGATCAGTTCCAAGACCACCACCACCACTCCAGATGCTGAAAAACTAGGATTATAGGGAATGCTATTTTAATAGCAAACACTATACATAGCATGGTGTCTACTGGCCAGTTCTGGCATGACAGTGTAGAAAAATATTTCTCTACTTCTAGTAGACAATTTTGGCAACTTCACCTTTAGAAATACTGTATGTATTTCTAGGATTATTCTTTTAATATTTTAAATATTTTCAGACCATGGATGTGCATTAGTGGATACTGACCCCACAGATAAGAGAGAAAAACATAGTTAAAGGCCCCCAAAGAGTAGTTAGCTACTCTTAAAGTAGTGGATGACACTGCACATTACTGTAACTCGAATTACTTATTAAAAAGCAACTTTCGAAAATCTGACTGAAGAACACAACCGAATGCCTTTCTGTCAGAGTTGTGGTGTTGGTGTAAAACCACTAGAGTCATTACAGTAGATTGGTTCAAGAAGAATTCAGATACCAGGATATTTGTTCCACCACCTTAAATTTACAAATATACAGAAAATCTAACATAGTAAAAGCAAAGCAAAGTGTGCTGCTTATATACTGCCCCACAGCGCTTCAAGCACTCTCTGGGCAGTTTACAAGTTAATTATGCAGACTACACATTGCCCCCCCAGCAAGCTGGGTACTCATTTTACCGACCTCGGAAGGATAGAAGGCTGAGTCAACCTTAAGCCGGCTACCTGGAATTGAACCCCAGGTTGTGAGCACAGTTTTGGCTGCAGTACAGCAGATTAACCACTGCACAGAACAGCAGCACTCAGCTCTGTTCTCTTACTCACAAAATGCTAGTCAGAAGGAAGGAAAAAGCGGTCACATGTGGTACAGTATGGCCCATTTATACGTTTACCATGCAATCAGGAGAGAGATGACTTCATTGCTTCACCCTTATAGCAACTGATTGCATCAGCCACCCTGACTCAGCAGCCTGCTATTAGTTAACCAGCATCCTTCTCTGGAATATTCTGTCAGACAGTAAATTTTGGATCCATTTTTATGTTTGGATCTTAATGCAGGACTTCGCTCTGCAGTGCTTAAATGTGTAATCAAAACAATGTTTACTATTACTGCTATTAGTTTTTCAAAGGGCAATTTTAAAATGGAAAGTGCATAGAAAGCTGGTTGAAGCTGATGCCCAGTTTCCATTTTTAAAAAGAATCTGGGAAAGTGTCAGTGCAGATAACTATTATGTAATAATTTAATTTTGCCGTGCACACTTACATGTGTTGGCGCTGCGGGTTAAGCCGCAGAAGCCTCTGTGCTGCAAGGTCAGAAGACCTGCAGTCCTAAGATCGAAGCCATGTGTTGGAGTGAGCCCCCATTGCTTGTCCCAGCTCCTGCCAACCTAGTGGTTCGAAAGCATATAAAAATGCAAGTAGATAAATAGGTACCATCACGGTGGGAAGGTCACGGCGTTCCGTGTCTAGTCGCACTGGCCATGTGACCACGGAAGATTGTCTTCGGACAAACGCTGGCTCTATGGCTTGGAAACGGGGATGAGCACCGCCCCCTAGAGTCGAACACGACTGGACAAATTGTGAAGAGGAACATTTACCTTTACCTTACACTTACTGATATAATGGCAGCCGAAAGGCGTTCTATACGGTGAAGTTCAGGTCTTGCAAAGTGGGATGTGATCTTTTCTGACCCCAAGGAAAGGACCTCAGCCACCACAGAAGGCAGAAAGAGAAAAGGTTGGGTGCGGATTAAAGGTCACATGGGAGAGGCTGAGGAATCTGAAGGCTTGTAAGCCTCTCAACTACAACTAAGTAGTACCATTGTCAGTGAGTTCTGATGCCATCCACAGGATCATGCTGTCTACTGAGCTGTACCCCATCTGCTTTCCGCTCAATAGCTGGACCTGCAGCTTCAACAGGTCTCTGGCAGATCCAGGAGTGTTCTGTGTTACACCTGGATGAGCTGGCTTTGAAGTCATCCACCAGATAAGCACAGTCGCCACCGTTCCCGATGACTTCCAGTCTACAACATAAACAACACAAAGAAGGTGTTTTTTTTTTCTTAGCTGCAGCGGAATCGCAGTTGAAGAACCAAGGGCCATTCAGATCATTTCACTGCGTTCTCTTTCCTGCCAATCCATTTTATCAGAGCTTCAAATAGCAGCTTTGTTCAGCTGGCTGCAGGATACTTGAAGATACTTGGAAAAGTAACTTTTCCAAGCTGTTCCTGACTTGAACTGTTGAAGCTGCCCTCTATATCAGACTGTAACTCCACCTAGCCCTAAATGATAGAATCATCAAAAAGTGAAGTTGGAAGGGGTCTACAAAACCATCACATCCAACCCCCTGCTCAGTGCAGGAATAAAAAGGATATCTGCCAGGTGATTATCTAGGTTTTTCTTGAATGTCTCCGGTGTTGGAGCAATCACCAACTCCTGTGTTGGAGCAATCACCACTGTCCTACTTCTCTAATAGTTAGGAAGTTTTTCCTGATATTCAACCGAAATCTGGCTTCCTGTAACTTGAGCCCATTGTTGCATGTCGTGCACTCTGGGATGACTGAGAACAGATCCTGCCCCTCCTCTGTATGATAACCTTTCAAATATTTAAAAAATGCTATCATATCACAGTTTAGTCTTCTTTTCTCACGGCTAAACATGCCCAATTCTTTCAGACTTTCCTCATAAGGCTTGGTCAGCCCCCTGATTATCCTTGTCACCTTACTATGAACTTGTTTCAATTTTTTTAGCATCCTTCTTGAAGTGTGGTGTCCAGAACTAGACACAATACTCAAGGTGAGGCCTAACCAGTGCTGAATAGAGCGGGACTGGCACCTTGCGGGATTTGCAAACTATACTTCTATTAATGCAGCCTAAAATAGCATTTGCCTTTTTGGTAGCCTCATCACACTGTTGGCTCAGTTTTAGCTTGTGATCTATGACAATTCCAAGATCCTTCTTGCTTGTAGTTTTGCTGAGCCAGGTATCCTGCATCTTGTAACTGTGCAATTGGTTTCTTTTTCCGAGGTGCAGTACTTTGCACTTATCCCTGTTGAATTTTGTTCTGTTGCTTTCGACCCAGTGCTCCATCCTATCAAGGTCAATTTTGAATTTTGTTTCTGTCTTCTACGGCAGTGGTTCCCAACCTTTTCCGAACCTCGGACTGGTTGGGGGGTGGGGTCCGTGTGCAGGTGGGGGGCACCCATGCATGCATGTGGGGGTGTTCTTGCGTGTGTGCAGAGGCATGTGTGCCAGGGGGTGAGAGATCTGCCTCTGTGGCCCAATCCTGCCAAAGCCACAGCCTGGTACCAGGCCGCAGACCGAGAGTTGGAGACCCCAGTTCTAGGGTATTACCTATTCCGCCCAATTTGGTATCATCTGCAAATTTGTTGAATTTTGTTCTGTTGCTTTCGACCCAGTGCTCCATCCTATCAAGGTCAATTTTGAATTTTGTTTCTGTCTTCTACGGCAGTGGTCCCCAACCTTTTCCAAACCTCGGACTGGTTGGGGGGTGGGGGCCGTGTGCAGGTGGGGGGCACCCATGCATGCATGTGGGGGTGTTCTTGCGTGTGTGCAGAGGCATGTGTGCCAGGGGGTGAGAGATCTGCCTCTGTGGCCCAATCCTGCCAAAGCCACAGCCTGGTACCAGGCCGCAGACCGAGAGTTGGAGACCCCAGTTCTAGGGTATTACCTATTCCACCCAATTTGGTATCATCTGCAAATTTGACAAGCATTCCCTCATCCAAATAATTAATAAAAATATTGAAGAGCACCAGGCCCAGGACTGAGTGCTACCCCACTTGTTACCTCCTCCCAGTTAGAGGCGGACCCATTAATCATCACCCTCTGAGTACAATTCTATAGCCAACTGTGTACTGTATCCACCTGACCCTTGATCTATCCAGTCCACACCTAGTTAGCTTGCTAATCAGGATATCATGGGGCATGTGGTCAAAAGCTTTGCTGAAGTCAAGATATATTTCATCTACAGCATTCCCTCTGTCTAATCGGGGTGGGTGGGTGGTTACCTGATCAAAGAACAAGATCAAATTAGTTTGGCAGGATTTGTTCTTGACAAATCAGTGTTGGCTTCTTGTTAATTATTTTGTTCCAGCTAGCATTAGCTCTTAAGCAGATATATTCTCCAGATTTATTCTCTGAAATGATTTTCAGCTGAAGATGATAGAGACTGAATGCATGTCATTTTGTATATCCCATGTGTGTTATATCATCTGGACCATGTTCTGCTTACGCATTAAGTTATAGAGGGAGGGAAGGCCATTTGTATAGCTTTGGGGGAAAGGATGGATATAAACACTGTACCAAAATTTTTTACATATGTCAGTATTCCCTACCCTTGCTTTGGTTTTAACTAACAATTAAAGATAAAGGCAATAATAAATAATAACACCACAAGAAAGTTCTCTCTGTGTGTTTAGTTCCATTTTGTAGAGGATTTCACTACTCAAAATAATTTGGGGGGGCGGCTGGCTGTAGAGCTTGGGAGATCAATTCCTCCATGTGCCCCTTACATTTCAACTGGAGTAGGACATAGCCAAAAACAAACAAAACAATATAAAATATTGTCAGGACAGCTGGCAAACTTAAAGGGAATTAGGAAGTATGGAGGGAATGGCAAATAATGTCATGGACCCTGCCAATGTTCGAACATTCTGGTTTTGATCCTGTCGGCAGGGATAACTACAGCCCAGTTCCTTACACAACACTGCTGATCAAAAGGGAAGGAGCACTCACGTTGCATTTTCTCCATTTATCCATTTCCAAGACTGGTCTCTGTCTCTCCCGAGTCCAATCCAGTAGGGAGTCTTGCCTTTTAGCCACATGATAAAGTCCTTTGAAGACCAGAATAGTCCAGTATAAGAAAGATGTGTGCTGCAACATTTATACGTTATAAACCAGAAGCAGCGAGCATTCACTAAAATGTACATGAACCAAGGAGCAACATTGATAGGCCATGTACTGGAGATATTTATTTATTTATTTATTTATTCATTCATTCATTCATTCGATTTTTACCCCGCCCCTCTAGACAACGTCTACTCAGGGCGGCTTACAAAAATGAAAACACATTAAACAATGTAAAAAAAAATAACTAGCATAGTGCAATTATTATAATTAATACTATCCAAGATGGCAAAATTAAGAACCAGAAAAAAGGATATGATGAGCACTTACAAAATTTCTCATTCTTGGTGATTTTTGTTTTGTTTTTGTTTTGAGAATAAGCAAGCATGACATGTTGAGCCTTCCTACCAAAATGTTTCTCTACATGAGAGAAATCCTCCACCCTCTCATAGAAAAGAGACCCCCGTCTCCTTTTTCCTCCCCTCACCAATTTCCACCCATTTCTCTGCCTCAGATATGGTCAAATTCTATGCAATTTGCCTTTCATAGTGAATCCTGAGGAGGAAAGATACCATTCTGTGGAGGACTCTAAAAATCCTACACAGCTTAGTATCTCTCCCAGAAAAAAATGATCAAGAATCACCAAAGGGAGGGAATCCTGTCTAGACTTCTCATAGGATCTATCCCAGACCCTCTTTTCAGAAACCACACTGCAAGAATAAAATTGGTCTATGTTCCCTGTTTCTGGCTGAAAATGACAGTCTATAAGATTCATGTCCGCACCATGAACCCATACCTTTAAAAAAAAAAAAAAACTTCAAACCAGCTAACTAGAGAGATGGTGGCTTCCACCACCACACTTATTACTTGAACCCACAATTTCTAGGATCTCCCATTCATTACATATGACATGCCTTGTGTCACACATAGCCACAGCCATATATTTCCATTTCCTTGTGCTGCCTAATAAGAGCTGGGTATGATGTCAGTAAAAGAACACCATTTTATATATGTATTTAAATTTATTATACAGTGGTGCCTTGCAAGACAAATGTAATTCGTTCCGCGAGAAGCACTGCCTTGCGAAAAAATCGTCTTGCGAAAAGCAGCTTCCCACAGGAATGCATTGCAATGCATTCCTATGGGAACCTCGCAAGATGAATGAAATTTTTTTGTCTTGCGAGGCATCGGTCTCAGAAAGAAAAATCATCTTGCGAAGCACGGCCATAGAAGCCATCTTGCGAGGCACCATAGCGATCGAAAAAACCATTTGTCTTGTGGTTTTTTCATCCCGCGAGGCATTCGTCTTGCAAGCACCACTGTACTTATTAGTTTTAATCTGTCTTTTTACTAAAAGAAATAGTGCTCAAGGCAGCTAATAAGCAGTGTTAAAACAGTTTAAAACAGATTAAATGCAGATTAAACAGAAAATCCTTTAGCAACACCATAATCACAGAGAAGCGGTGAATGACAAATGAAGTAATTATACCTCTCACCTTCTCATTTGTTGTAATCCTAGCCAGGGAAGCACCATACGATGAACAGAAAGTCTGGCTGGAAGTCCAGTTTTTCCCTTCTTTGGAAAAGTAATAGCACTTCCCTTCAAACATAATCCATAAAGGGGGACAAGGGGAGCTGAACGCACAGCTTGGTCCAAAATGTTTTGTGAGAAAAACTGAGGAAAGAACAGAGGGTTATTGTCCAGCCAGGTTCCCCCCCCCATGCCACCTTGAGAAGTAGTGAGAATAAGGCAAGGATGACGTGGGACGTGAAACGGCACCATTGCAATAAAGCAGGGAACAAGCAATTGCTGCAGATTAGCTCATTTGTCTCACACGCCCAAGGTTGTAGCACTTTCCCCATGTTTTAATAGGACGTGTGGATAAACACAGTGGAATATGCTGTGGTGTGGCTGGGTGTGCACCCTGTTGCTGTTGAGTGTTTCAAGGACTGGGTGTGACAATCCTAGGAAGAAATAAAATGGGAAGAGAGGAAGGCAGGACCAGACATACAGGGCTGTTGGGGGAATACCAAGGGGGTACAGAATGTAGGTGGGGGAAAAAGCAGTTGTCCTATACCGCCTGAAACTGCACTGTACATCGTGCCCCGCTTAATGATTGCCCCGTATTATGACAAATCCGCTTTACGATGACGTTTTTGCGATCGCAAAAGGATGGTCTAAATGGGGGAATTTCGCTTAGCGATGATTGGTTCCCTGCTTCGGGAACCAATTTTCGCTTTACAACGATCAAAAACAGCTCATCATCGGTTTTTCAAAATGGCCGCCGGGTGCTTAAAATGGCTCCCTGCTGTGCTTAGGGACGGATTCCTTGCTATACAGGCACCAAAAATGGCCGCTGTATAGAGGATCTTCGCTGGACGGTGAGTTTTCAGCTCATTGGAACGCACTGAACAGTTTTCAATGCATTTCAATGGGCTTTTACATTTCGCTTTAAGATGTTTTCGCTTAACAGCGATTTTCCTGGAATGGATAAGTAAGGCACCACTGTATCTAGTAAATAGTAAATAAACCAGAGCAGACGAGAAACAGAGTGGGTACTATGTTCAACCACTGTAAAGCTTATTATTGTGTGCTACAACAGGAGTCGCTAAGGACTTGACCAGGTTTTCCTGGTGAGCACAACTTCAGCCACAGTTATCTCCCAAATAGACCCACTCTTTTGAATGAGCATACAGGAGAACCCAGGAGAAGCCCCAGTTGCATAGTCTTTCTTTCTGTGATTTGTTAGTTAAATGCACTTGGCTCTTTTAGGTTCATTTTTATATTATCCCATGGCTTAGCAAAGTTTCTCCTTTTTTGGGATGGGCGACAACTCGCAAAGTTCAGTCAACTTCTGTCTAGAAGAGCGGGATAAAAATCCAATAATAAATAAATAATATAATAAGTCCAACATGGTAACCACAACACCGGAGAGAAGGGTGCCACATTTCCTGATTCGTTCCTTTAAGATGGCATCACAGAATCTGGACAACTTACCAGTTACAACGACAATGACAACCAGGACTATGATGAAGCCACCACAGTAAATTAATTTCTTTTTATCCACAGCAAATTTCCAGCATTGACGGTGAACTAGAACATAAAGGAAAACGAACACATTTGCAACTCTATCTTGGGGGAGTCTGTGCTATTAACAGCTTCATCACCCATCACTCTTCCAATGAGAAGCCTCCCATGCAGCAAGGTGGAGAAGGCAGCATGGAGTAGTGGTTAGAGTGCACAGGTGCTTGGGAGGGCTGCTTTTTACTCCTTGTTGGATCATGGCACTTCTTGGCCAAAATCCTGTTGTAAGTCACAGAGAAGACCCATTTGAATAAGTAGAGCTTGTAGAGGAGCTGACCCACGAAATCTCCACTGATTCTAATACAATGCCCAGAGATTTGCAGAAACTGGATGACTCTCCGTTCTCCTGCCTTCCTCCCCAGCAAAGCCTGGTAAGTGTGAAGGATGGGTGGGATGGAGAAAGAACCCAACAGGAGGCAACCCAAAGAACTACACACTTGAAGCAAGTAGGGCAGGGGTAGGCACTTGCAACTAGCCATGGAATGATTCTTGATTTCTTGAACTACAAATCCCATAGTTTTCCGTTCTGGGAGTTCTATCTGACCTGCAGACATTTAAATGTGTCTCACTTGGGAGAAAGGCCTATTTAAAATCTTTAAAGATAACGCTGTTAAGGTGCTACACTCAATATAACAGCAAGTTTGGAAAACTCAGCAGTGGCCAGAGGACTGGAAAAGATCAGTCTACATCCTAATCCCAAAGAAGGGCAGTGCCAAGGAATGCTCCAACTACCGTACAATTGCACTCATTTCACACACTAGCAAGCTTATGCTCAAAATCCTACAAGGTAGGCTTCAGCAGTATGTGGACGGAGAACTCCCAGAAGTACAAGCTGGATTCCGAAGGGCCAGAGGAACTAGAGACCAAATTGCTAACAAGCGCAGGATTATGCAGAAAGCCAGAGAGTTCCATAAAAACATCTACTTCTGTTTCATTGACTATGCAAAAGTCTTTGACTGCGTGGACCACAGCAAACTATGGCAAGTCCTTAAAGAAATGGGAGTGCCTGGCCATCTTATCCATTTCCTGAGAAATCTATATGCTGGACAGAATGCAACAGTTAGAACTGGATATGGAACAACTGATTGGTTCAAAATTGGGAAAGAAGTATGACAAGGCTGTATATTGTCCCCCGGCTTATTTAACTTATATGCAGAATACATCATGTGAAAGACTGGACTGGAGGAATCGCAAACTGGATTTAAGATTGCCAGAAGCAATATCAACAACCTCATATGTGCAGATGATACCACTCTGATGGCAGAAGGTGAGGAGGAATTAATGAACCTCTTAATGAGGGTGAAAGAAGAGAGAGCATAAAAATGGTCTAAAGCTCAACATCAAAAAAACTAAGATCATGGCCACTGATCCCATCACCTCCTGGCAAATAGAAGGGGAAGATATGGAGGCAGTGGCGGATTATACTTTCTTGGGCTCCATGACTACTGCAGATGATCATGGCAGCCACAAAATTAAAAGATGCCTGCATCTTGGGAGGAAAGCGATGACAAACCTAGACAGCATCTTAAAAAGCTGTGACATCACCTTGCTGACAAAAGTCGGCATAGTCAAAGCTATGGTTTTTCCAGTAGTGATGTATGGAAGTGAGAGCTGGACCATAAAGAAGGCTGAAAGTGTGAAGGCAAGAGGAGAAGGGAACAACAGAGGATGAGATGGTTGGACAGTGTCATGAAAGCTACCAACATGAATTTGGTCCAACTCTGGAAGCCAGTGGAAGATAGGAAGGCCTGGGTTGCTTTGGTCCATGGGGTCACGAAGAGTCGGACACAACGTCTAAACAACAACAAAATTGACAGTTAGTGCATGAATACAAGCCAGAGTAGGTCATCTGAATGTAGTCTTCCCTATTATAGGCAAATGTATTCACCTGCCTCTTTAACAAGCAATTGGCTGGACTAAAGGAAGATTTCTCACCGGCTCCATGGCAGCCCCTCCAACCCTCCCAAAATGTTACTAAAAGAGTTGGGGAGCATTGGGTAGGCAATGGTGTCCATAGAATGGGAAAATCCCTGAAAATCAAGGAATGGAATCCTCCAGGGACAAAGAAGACATATTCTAAACAACAACAATACCATGGCACCTGTTTATAAAATTAATATTTAGCGATACATCAATGTATCAGAAACAAGTCTCCCTCTAGGGTGCGTGAATGAGTGAGTGGCTTAACTTTTCTCCTCTCCAAATAGCTTTTCTCCTCCCCTATGTACTCAGAGCTATCGTTTCCAGCCCCTTTCGTTCCTTTTGCAATGGAACCTGATACAGTGGGGGTGGGGGGAGGCAGACGAACACATGAGGGTTTGAAATTAGAGGGAACATTGATCGGGAAGGGGTTTCTGTTTAGGAAAGTGTCCCTCGGTTGTTCTGGCTGCTCTTGCAGAAACACATTGCACACAATGGATGGGATATCCGCACAGCAGGACGGGCGATCACATAGAAACACCCCAGTAACAGTGGCATACTATCTTTCAATATATCTTCCCACAGGAAATAAATAATAACTACTCACCAGTAATGTAATGGCAGTGCCCCCCCCAGTGACATATGTTTACCAACATATTTATGTATTGGGCACAGATATATATATATTTAAAATAATGTGTACGCTGCAGTAATGGCATCCACCTTCCTAGCTTTGATTTTGACAAGAAGTGGGGCAGGCCGTGCATAGTCTCGGTAGGGAATGCACCAGTACAACAAAGGTACAAAATAACACAACCCTCCTGGAGATGGGGAAATGTTCCACACTTACACCACCGACTGGGAGAATGTCTTAGTCTTGACTCTGCATCATGTGACCAGGAAAAAAATACCAAACATAACTTGTGGATAACTACATCACATTTCCCTCATGCATCCAGGGCCTCAGTGTTTCGCACATTCAGAGTAATACAAGTGCAAAGAAAATCATTTGCTCTTTAAAATATGCACTTCAAGATTTACCATGGATCTTTCCAAACTTTAAAAAAAGTTTACCAAAGTGATGTGAATTATGAATAAGTGTATGCAGCCCTGTGTATATCACTGAAAAGGACCAAACTGAATTATAATAAGAAATAGGCAAATGTGCATATTAGGCAAAAGTGCAAAGGAAAATGCAAGTATGTGGAGAAATGTCTACCAAACTATGTACAAACACTCATGCACACTTTGAAAAAACTTTACCAAACAATATACCATACTTTCCGTGTATAAGACGCCCCATGTATAAGACGCCCCCCTCACTTTTCTAACCCAAAATTAAGAAATCTAAGTGGGGCTTAGCAAGTGTAGGGGAAAAGGGATCAAAGCACTGCAGGATCACTTTGATCTTTGCTTTCCCCTCCACTTGGTTTTTCTCTCCTCAGCTTACTTCCGTGTATAAGACAACCCTCATTTTTAGTCTAAGGTTTTTAGAGAAAAGTATAGTCTTATACATGGAAAAATATGGTAGAATGGAAAAATTATCAAAAATTGTTTGGGACCAACAGAATGGATGTTGGGAAAATATAAAACAAAAAAGAAAAGAAGGTGAGAGACCCGAGATGGATACATTGATTGCTCCTGGCTCTGAAGTGTTTGCGTTCCCTGCTACCCGTCTCCTGGAAGCCACCACTTACCATGGATAGGGCTCTCCTCAACTGAAATTGAAGACAGTCTTGTCCCAGAAGGTAGTACAGATGCCATCCCCCTTCTGTTGAAATATGTCGCATCAGCCTCCAGAATATGCTCTCCTGTATATATTGAAACACAAATGGTCCAGTGTCCATCAGGGGGAAATTTTCAAGGGTTGGGGGCCCACTTGTATATTTTTACCTGGAAATGTGTCCACTTTTAGAAATGCATCATTCCATAACGCTACTAAGATACAGATTCGTGGTACAAGGCACACTAATGGGAATGGATTGGAGTTGGGCACCAACTGGAAAACCTGTGGTTTGCGATTCATGGCCAGACATGAACCACAAACCATCATACACACACCCCACTGAAAAACAAACCGGTTCACAGATCGTTTTTCAGGTTCCTGGCAGAGAGGAGCCTACCTGGTCCTGCCACCTGGTACTAATACTGATCACAATTATAAACATTCCCCAAATAAATCTTTCCCATTTTTTTTATCTACAGGAAGGAACAGTGTGTTGAGAACCATATCCTAACCACAATCTTATATGTAAGCCAATTACATTGATTTCAACAAGGCCCACTGTCAGGGAAGATGGTATAAAGCTGCACAGTAAGGGTGAGATCAGACGGGGAAACAGGTCACATTTTGCTCTGTTTGTGGCACAGTCTGGTCTGAATGATTTCCCACATAATTACACATTCCGCTCTGCTCTGTGCCGAAGCACAGAGGGGTAACTGCTTCCAAGAAGGATGATGACAAATTGGAACAGGTTCAGGGGAGGGCAGCAAGGAGGATCAGGGGGCTGGAAACCAAGCCTTATGAGGAAAGGCTGAAAGCATTGGGCATGTTTTGCCTTGAGAAAAGAAGATAGAAGGGTGGTATGATAGCACTTTTTAAATATTTGAAAGGCTGCCATACAGAGGAGGGGCAAGATCTGTTCTCAGTCGTCCCAGAGTGTGGGACATGCAACAATGGGCTCAAGTTAAAGGAAGCCAGATTTAGGCTGAATATATATCAGGAAAAAAAATCCTATTAGAGCACTAGGACAGTGGAACCAGTTATCTCAAGAGGTGGTGAGCACTCCAACACTGGAGGCATTCAAGAGAAATTTAGACAACCGCCTGGCAGATATCCTTTGACTTGTATTCCTGCATTGAGCAGGGGGTTGGACTTGATGGCCTTACAGGCCCCTTCCAACTTCATGATTCTATGATTATGCTGAAGCAATTCCTGCATGGGGAAAAAGAGTCATTTTAATGAAAATCGCTCCCAATGAAATGGCTGTTTCCAGCATGACCACACACAATCCTTTCTCGCCATCTGATCACACTCTGAACTACTACACTGGAGCTGCAAACCTATTGACACATACCTGGAAAAGGTAACTTTTAATGCAACAGGACTTACCTGGGGATGAATATGCACAGGATTGTACAATAAACCCCCTATTATTATTTGTCCCCAAACCAATAATTATTGGGGGGGAAAAACTTTTCAAGTATCCATACAATCCATTTTGATGCAGCATCCAACCCAGAGAGATACCAGAGTGCTTTTTAATAATAACACTAAGCATTTGTGGGGAGCATTCAAAGGTTCAGAGAATACAATATAAGAATACAAGTTTTCTATAGACAGGATCAAACTAATCACTTGGATTTCCAACTGTTTCTTCAGATACTGTAGCTGTCTGGTCAAAACAAAGAAGAACCAATCTACATCCTCTAGCAAAGGGCATTCGGAAGCAGGCTGTGACTTCCCCTTTTAACACAGCGAGTCACAGTTAGAGCATACCGATTGAATCAGTGCAAGGAATGGAGGACTTGCTTCACTCAATCCCCATTGATGCCATACTTACTTTAGTGTGAGCTTGAATGCTTAACCATAGGATTATACCGAATTCCTTATTTCTTTTAGAGCTAGGTACAAAAAAAAGAAGCTCGAGTTTCTTCTTCTTTTGCAGAACTTTAGCTTAAAAGCAATCTTATCCACCCACCCACCCAAATCCGTCCTTGTCAGGCCAACACGGTATTCACCTTCTTTTTCTTCCTCCTTCCGGAATAACGGGGCAACTGAGTTGCAAATGCAGGGGTGTTTTCCTCTGTGCACGGCAGGACTTACTATCGATGGGTGTAAAAGAAGGCGGCAGCCGCGAAGTAAGACGTCTCCCGCCCGGTAGTTGCAGAAGTGAGCCCGAGACGACAGTTTCTCCAAGATGAGATGCGGAATCGGGTCTCACTGGAGCATGTCGAGGCAGGGGTCCTGCGTTGGTAAAGGCAATCAAAGGAAACAGCATCCGGATTACACCGCTGCCCCTCCCAAAAACAACGTGCCTCTAAACTGGGTAACTCACATGACTGCTTCCAGGAACTTCTCTGCCAAAGGAAGGCAGCGCTTTTAAGACATTGATGCAACCTTGCTTTTGCTTTGCTCGCGTTTCGATGATGGGTGAGTGAGCGATCTCCAAAAGGGGAGAAAGTAAAAGGCACGTCCTTGAAATTAAAAATGGATCCTTGTGATTTCATATGATTTTTTTTAGGTGGGATGCTTATCAAACGACTGCCAAATCACAGATCCCATGTGTGAGCACGGACTACGCCACAGAAATCATGGGTGCTTCGGCACATGACCTTGCAGTGGTGCAAAATCATGGATCCGAGGCACAAATCCTCATAGATCCCCATAATTTTTTAAAATCTTGGTCCCTCTCCAAACCCCCATATAAAAATTGTAGGCCTCATATGTACCCACACACTACAAGACAGATATAATGGTGCAAAAAACATTGATCAAAGGCATGGAACTACATGGATCCACACAATTTTTGCTTCAAATCCTCCTGAAACCACCCTCAAGTTATAGATCCCAGTGGTAGCCTTGGAGTACAACACAGAAATCACAGAATCATAGAACCATGATATTGAAAGGGGCCCATAAGGCCATCCAGTAAACCCCCTGCTCAATGCAGGAATACAAATCAAAGGAGATCTGCCAGGTGGTTTGTCTAAAATTCTCTTGAATTCCTCCAGTGCTGGAGCATTCGCCGCCTCTGGAGGCAATTGGTTCCATTGTTGTAGTGCTCCAACTGTTAGAAAGTTTGTCTGATATCCAACCGAAATTTGACTTCCTGTAACTTGAGCCCATCGCTGTGTGTCCTGCACTTGGGGATAATCAAGGACAGATCCTGCCCCTCCTCGTGTGATAGGCTTTTTAAGTGTTTGAAAAGTGCAGTCATATCTCCCCTCAGATCCTTTGTGGTTCTTAACCTTTGTTACTCAGGTGTTTCTGAACTGCAGCTCCCAGAAACCTCAGCCAGCAGAGCTGATGGTGAAGGCTTCTGGGAGTTGCAGTCCAAAAACATCTGAGTAACAAAGGTTAAGACCCAGTGCGTGAGCACATGGTTTTACAGTGGTGCAAAATTTTACAGTGGTGTAGACACCCTCTGTGGATTAACATGATTTTTATGTTGGGATCGTCCACAAATCAGCAGGAAGTCACAGGCCAGGTGATCCACATGACACTTTGGCACATGGCTTTGCACTGAAACAAAAAAAAAAGTGGATCATGGATCCACATAATATTTATATTGGATCCTCTCCAAACGGCTGCCAAGGTTTGGCGATAGCGACTGGGCACAGTTTTGTGGCTCAGCAGCGAGGGGAGCTTAGCTCTTCCAAGCCCGGGTCGCAACCTCTAACCACTATGCCACACTGCACTGCCTCTTATCAGAGAGCCGGCAAAGACAGAGGGGGCTGCACACCAGCAAGCGAATCAGGAAAGAACCTTTCCCTCTTATCCAATGAACCGCCAATAAACTGATGACGATTATACTAAATTTGCATAAATGGCGCGCTTTTTGTGATAACTCACTAGCTGGCTTCATCATCTCATCCCAGTTTTAACGGGTGTGTTCTAGCTTTCTAAAAATTGCGGTTTCCCACTCAAAGGTAAGGAAGATGTTTTCATTATGTTCTGTTTGTCATTCATAAATCGCATCCCGGATTTCTGCTTGTTCATTCAAAGAATCTTGAGGAATCTGGAACGACCCATACGTTTTATGTGGCATAAGATTTGAGCGGATTGCAAGCTGCTTTTTCATATCCACTTGCTGCAACCCAAGACAGCTTACGCCAAAAAAAAAAAAAAGTTAGCCTTTAAGATGCCACAAGATCCTGTGCTTTTCCTGCAACAGACTGCTACGCCCGGACATGGCTTCTCAGAAATAAATTTCAAGGAGGTTTATGACCTTAGATACGATCCCAGCAGATTTACAAGGCAGTAAATGCCATTGAACAAAAACTTCAATGGCTCTGTTCAGTTACACTCTGATGATTGTTTCTAACTGTACAGACGACGATCTGATGAGACACGTTTTTGGAGGAAGTTTGAAAGAACTGGTTTTTTTTTTTTTTAAAGCAGCCGCCTGTCAAGAGGATGAGGAAATATTTTCGCGCGCTTTTTCTTCCAGCCTTTGCTCTCTTATGGGAACTTCACGCTCTGCATTTTTTTCCTTTAAAGATTACGCGCGCTACAATTGTCCAGGATGATTTTTTTGTGCAGTCAGAGTGGGTGAAAGGAGGCTGAAAACACGTTTTTCTTCCTAGTTGTCCTCAAAGCTTCCTGCTTTCTCTTATTCATAATAGAGTTAAGCAGGAGGTAGTCCTGTGAGTAGGTGCTAGCATGTCAGGTCAAATCAAAACAAAACCAAAAATAAAGAAGACAACAACGTTGTGGCACCTTAAAGACGAACGGCTACATTTTAATGTGAGCTTTCCTGGACACGTCCACTACTTTAGGCAGAATTAAGCAATGAATCTACGTATTTTCCCCCCAGTCTGATTTGTTATGTTTTTCTCAAGGATATTAGAATTGATCTGGTCTTGCATTGGGATAAGCGGGTTTTTGGTTAAAAATGGCTTTTTCGAAGGCATCAGTGTCTCTGGGGTATGTGTGTCTTTTTCGTAACAGTTCTTCATGGAAACATCTGCGGAATCTGATCTCCGTTCGTGTGGTAAGAGGTTGGGCTCATGGATAGCCGAACCAGAAAAGTTAACACAATTAGATTGTTAATTTTGCTGTTTCTAGGATTTCCGTTCTTTACACCCGCTGCCCCAGAGAGCTCAGGCTCTTCGTCAGTTTGTTTGTTTGTTTCTTGTTTGTTTTTATTTTTTCATATGCTGGCAATAGGGTAAGGAATGCAGAAGGTAAGGGAAGTGTGTATGTGGAGGGGGGAGGGGGAGAACATGAAATGTGGTCGAAATGACCAGATAGGCGGGGTATAAATAAAAATAAATAAATAAATAAATAAATAAATAAATACATGCATAAAATTCTAAGTGTTCGCGTTACAATACCAAGCCCACTTTTCGCCTTTCTACAGTTTGATTGCCCTTCTGGATTCCTTCTTGCAATGTCATCTTAGTTTTAATTCTATGCTAATCAAGCTCTGTCTACTGACTCAAGCCATTTATATACAGGTAATAAATCCCATCGTTCAGTTGCCTTTTGTACTGGACAGTCTGTCAGCACTTCCGATAGTACATCCGTTTCTGCCGCTTCACAAGTCTTCCCTTTTGTTTGTTTGTTTTAAACTGCAAAGAAACAGTAAAAGTGGTGATGGGGCTGTTTTGGTGTGTGTGTGTTTTGTTTTGTTTTAAATGTTCCTGGGGAGAGTGGACCTGGGTAAGGGAACTGACTGGGTCCAAGGTTTCAGTCTTGCGGCTTCCAACTCTTAACTCTGATCATCTCTTGTAGTTTAACGTGATCCGTTCGCCTTATCCAGGGACCAGAGGGGCCGCCTATTAAAGCCACCACCGGTTTAGTGTCTGGATAGAGGAAGACACGGACGAGAAACAACATCTACGGATCTCTAAAGCCACGAGCTTTTACGAGTTTGTGGATCTTGCAGACAGAAAATTTATTGATTGATTGAT